TGTGTGTTTGGGGGTCTGGTGCAGGCAGGCTGGGGTGGTGCTCTGGGTGCTTGCTGAGGGGAATTGGGGATGGATGTGTATGATGTTGGGGGTTGTTAGAATCACTACTCATGTATTTACCGAGTTGGGGAGGGAGCAATTTTTCTTCTTGTTCTAAATTGCAGCCAATTTGCGGTCTCTGCAGCAGCTGCATCTTCACAGCAATCTCCTGGTGACTGTCCCCGCATCCCTTGCCAGCCTTCCCAACTTGTCCAGGCTTGACTTGCAGAACAACTGGCTCCGCTCCATCCCCCCCCGAGATCCAGCACTCTCCCTTCATGCACCTGCGGGGCAATCCGCTAGGAGAACCTGAGATCCCCCTGCAATCTGGTAATTGCGTCCCTGGCTTGACTGCATCTCAGACAGCTGCTCCCAGGCTCTAGCAAGTGTCACAAGATGGTGTGTGAATGTGATTGTTGGAGATGAGGGGGAGAAAATGGATCATTATTCATATGGCATCATTGCAGGTGTATTTTGCACTGCACAGACACACACAAGTGAGCTCCTCGCTCAAAGAGTTTACAATCTAAGTTAGATGTGGGTTTCATTGTACTAGAGGGTGTATAAGGGAGAGGAGGCTATCCAGAAGTTCCGACACTAGGTTGCCAGTGTCTTCAATTACAGGCTGTGCTAGTTCTGTGGGAGGGATTCTAATTTTTTGAGTCAGTTCTAAGGTGTAAAAAAAAAATCTCTGGAGATGCTTTTGCTCAGCCTGATCATTGGAAAGATCTTGCTGGTGATGCAGAAGTGGGGTTGTGGGAAAGTCAATGGGCAAAAGGAAGTCAGCCTCTTGGGAAAGTCCTCAAGCTGCAAGCAAAAAGATCCCGAAAAGCATCTGCTATTTAGATCATAAACAGGCAGCGGCGTATTATCGCCTAGGCCGACAAATTTGCAGGGGCGGCAAATTTGAGCACCCACGGAGAAGCTCCCCTGCTCCAGCTCACCTCCTCCGTGAGCGTGCTGCCGCATCCTGTTTCTCTCCCCTCCCTCCCAGCACTTGTGCCGGGAAACAGCTGTTTCACGGGGCAGGGAGGGAGGGGGGGAACGAGGCACGCTGGGGAAAGAGGTGGGGCCGGGGCGGGGATTTGGGGAAGGGATCCAATAGGGGCAGGGAGGGGGCGGAATTGGGGTGGGACTGTGGGGAAGGGGTTGGAATGGGGGCGGGAAATGGGTGGAGTCGGGGCAGGGCCAGGGGCGGGGCCAGGGGCGGGCGGGGCGGCAATTATTTCAGGGCTTAGGGGCGGCAAAATCATTAATCCGCCACTGTAAACAGGCAGAGGTAGGGAAGAGTCAGCGATGCCAGTACAGCCCGGCCAATAGCTGCTAAGTGCAGGAAAAGAGATGCATCAAAAGTTCACTGACCTCTGTCCATCCTCCCGTGGAACCCAATACAAAGCCCATGGGGGGGATATGGAAAATCTCGCATTGACTTCGCTGGAATTTGGATCCAGCCCCTGATGAGCACAGTGTTGCAAGAGGAATGCTCCTTTATCACCTGCACCCCTCAAATCAATGGACTGTCTGCCTCCAGCCTGCCTGCTACCCACCCCTGTTCACTTCTCTTCTTCTGATTCACTGCAGATGAATCCAGCTCAGGAGAGCTAGGAAGAGTGTTCCTTGTACCCAATGAGGACAGGTATTTCACGCAGTGTCTCTGTTATTTTTGTTACTATTTATTATTTTGTAGTGCAGTAGCACTTAGATGCCTTAGTCAAGATTAGGGTCTCATTTTGCTAGGTGCTGTACATACACATTATTAGGGATAGTCTCTGCCCCAAATTGTTTCCAGTCCAAATAGACAAGTCAGAGTTTTACTCCATTACATGCAGGTCACG